TTAATTTTCAGACCAGAACAGTACTTAAATTTGTGAATAACATTTAATATTTCAATTCCTGATTTTTCATCACTTAGAAAACATGTAGTGTCATCTGCTAACTGGCTTATCTTAAATTCTGTCGCCCCTACTTTTATTCCACGTATATTTCTATTTGCCCTTATGGCTATTGCAAGTAGCTCGACACATAAAATGAACAGGTAGGTTGATAAAGGGCATCCTTGTCTCACCCCTCTAGTTAATTTGAAGAAAGAGGTTGTATTCCCATTGTTTATAACACTACTAGAGATATCTGTATACAGGATTTGAACCCAATGTCTGAAACTTTCACCAAATCCAAATATTTCTAAAGCTTTATCGAGGAAAGGCCATTCTATTGTATCAAATGCCTTTTCAAAATCAACTAAGAGAATTAGTCCAGGAATATTCTTAATACTAGTATAGTTTATAAGATCAGATATGGTTCTAATATTTTCTCCTATAAATCTATTCTCTAAATATCCAGTTTGGTCAGAATCTATTAAATGAGGTAAATAAGTTTTCATCCTTTTTGCCAATACCTTTGATAATATTTTATAATCAAAATTTAGAAGAGATATTGGTCTCCAGTTTTTTAACAAAGTTCTATCTTTATCTTTTTTAGGAACTAGAGTTATTATTCCTTTTCTTTGGTCAACTGAGAGAGCGTGTTTTTCAGTGCTTTCATTTATACTATCAATGACTAGTTCTGATATCTGATTCCAGAAATACTCATAAAATTCCATTTGAAACCCATCAGTTCCTGGTGATTTATTATGTCTAAAAGTTTTCAAAATATTTGCACATTCTTCATAAGTAATTGGTCCCTCACATGAAAGAGATTCCTCTTTTTGAAGTCTTGGAATGTTTACATTATTTACAAAATAGCCAAGATTTTCATTATATTCATTATAATCCAAGTCAGATGTATATAATTTCTTATAAAATTTCATCTCCTCCTCTAATATTTCACTTTTACATTGTACAATATTTTCATTTATATTTAATGTTGAGATACATTTATTTCTGTAATTTCTTTTTTCCAAAGATAAAAAGAATTTTGTGCATTTTTCCCCCTCTTCACACCATTTTGCCTGAGATCTTAATATAATTCCTTTAGTTTTGTTATCATTTAATATTTCCAACTCTTCTCTTATTTCATTATATATGTTGATATTTGAAGAAATGATGTTCAGTGGATAGACTCTTGGGTGTCGTTCGATGAAACGAAGACTTCTTCAGAAGCATGGCATCTTTATAGGAAGGTATATTATCTTATTATGATTAATAAACAGAAATCAGGTTTCTTGTTCAAAGTATTAATTTTATTTTTTTTTAATTCAGGAGAATGCCAATTATACAGAATATTTGCTGACATTACTTTTATGAGCTTAAGGACATACACAACATAGTACTGGAATTTTATTTTCTTATTCCCTTGTTGATTTAATTAAGAGTTCAATAATTGAAAAACCTTTGTACAATTTAATGATGCCTGTAAATGCCGTTACCTTCTCTGAAGCAAATGTTGAGGAAATACCAGCTAAAACTATATTTTTGTTTTTTTTTTCTTTGAGAAAATACAATGATTTTCATCATTTGACATCTTTTTTTTTGTCTTAAAACACCAGATGAAATTCTATAATTTTAAATTCGGAATATCCTGGAAAATAGTTGGTAAGGTACATGTAAATGCAAGTTGCATATGACCTTAGGAGGCAATTATGCTTTTCTTAGTCACAATTTTCAACGTTTATACTACTTGACATGTATTTCTAACTCATCTCATTATTTTCCTTTTCTTTCAGAAGGTACATCTGAAATAAATCTAAACATGCTCTTGGCGTTTTGGACTGGAGCTGACACAATCCCTCCACTAGGATTTCACAAAAAGCTTGAAATTAAATTAGTGGAAGACCCTGCCTGTTTGCCAGTTGCACATACTTGCGAACTTTTGTTGGAAATATCTAGGGGAGAACCCCCTGAGGAATTACACAGAAAAATGTAGTTGGCATTCACTGGGGGGGGGGGGGGGGGGGGATTCCATCTTGCTTAAGAAAATAACTTTATGTATTCAATTCTGTATCTATGTTTTGAAAGTTTTCATTCAATTAATTTTTAAACTCAATAATGGCAGTGTTAGTCATATTAAGCAATAAGAGTATTTCTTAAGGGAAAGATAATACTATAGGACATTGATAATCATATGAGGAAAATTTCTTCAGGGAAAGATAATACAAAAAGACATTGATTTTTGTATAGGAATATTAATTGATATTTGGTGTATTTGTGGTAGTAAGCATGCTTTTGAATTTTAAAGTTTTTCTCAGAGCAGTTTGCTTTCCTTATATCTTCATTTTGCAATTGTCATTAATAGTTGTTCTAATGAATATGACATGTATGGTGACCCAATAAACATAGTAATAATTTTTGTTTGTGACTTTTAATTCATACACTTAGATGATTAGTGTACAACATTTGTCATGAAAATTGAAGAAAAAAAAAAAAACAAGTGAAACATCAGGTGATGATTTATTCTCTAATCCTAATTTGGATTTTACAACTTTTCAACCAAGTACTTCAAAGCCTCCATGGCCTTCTCAGTGGTGTTTGGAACAGTTCTCCCACCTTCCAAAAGCAAATGATCAAAGTATGCTGCATTGTCCTCACAACATTGGACTAGGAAATAATCTTTGAAACTCTAGCACGTCATGAATATCCACTGGAAATTTATAATCTACTGCACCTGTACATAAAAAAATGAAGTCATAATGTGTTGATACTGTTTTAAATTTGAGCACTGAAAAACAACCAAGGTATCGAAGGAGAAAGGTAAACACAGAAAAATATTCAAATTAAAGTTAGTGATTAAACAAATCTTTATAGGAAAAATACCAAAAATTTCAGGGTGGAAAAACATCATTTCTGGTTTTCCTGGGAGACTTCCATCATCATCATAGCGTCTTTGTGCTCTGATGTAATGGTCATTCCATTCTGTTTTTATTTGATCACGTTTTTGTTGGATGATTTTCATAAAACAGAAGCAAAGGCATTCTTTAAATTGTATGCAGAAATATCATAATAGGTTATAAACGCACAATTCTTAAAGTATAAATAAAGAATTTATTTCTCTTCTTACATGTGCTCGTTATTTGCTGATGAGAACATCCCTTGGTCTTTTATGTCTTTGAACAAGTGTATCCAGAAGGAGATGCCCATCTCTCTCAGTGTTCTCCACTAGCGTTCAATTCTCTTAAATCAAAATGTATTTGTGAAAAACTGAAGGCTGATTTTTCAAAAGTAGGTCAAACTTCAAGGTTATTGAGTACAAATGTTGGTACTGTCACAAGGAATACACAACTTCCCTAGGATCAACCGTTCAAAGTTATGGCAAAGGTCAAAGTTTTACAAAAGTAGGTTAAACTCCAAGGTCAATTATTATAATGTTGGTACTCAAAGACATATTTTTTTTTACAAGAAATACACTTGAGAAATATGAAATCTCTAACATCAACCATTCAGAAGTTATGTCCAAAAATAAATTTTTTTCACAAGTAGGTCGAACCCTAAGGTCAAGGTCATTAGGTCAAAAAATGTTGGTGCATTAAAGTCTTTGCAGATAAGAATACAGACAGACCCAAAGCTATATGGATAAGGCTCCCGAATCTTTAATAATAGGGGCATAAAACAATCACATAAATATGTCATATATTCATTTCATAATGATACAGAAACAATAAATTGTATATCAAATTATGTGCAGAGATATTTTAAATCATTTAACTGACTTCATTTTCAAATATTTGACAACAGGTTTCTGGAAAGGGGTATAGAGAGGGGTATGGGAGGGTTATCCCTCCCCTAGGTCAAAAAATTTATGATAAAAATGCATACAAGTCTGTTGCATTCTGGGGGTCATATTTTTTCAAATACGAAATAAACAAATAAATAGCAAAACTTTAAACAAAAGATTGGTGTTTTCAGGGGTTGCAATTGCATCCATGCCCCCCCCCCTTTTGATGGCTCTGTAGTATAACTAATACTATAAAAAGAACTGTGTCACCTTGAACTCTATTAAATGAAACTGATGCAAATAATGAAAGTATGAAGTTTGCAAAACTTTATCTGTGGTATCAGATTACACAATGACGCCAAAGAAAGATAATATGAAGAATTTTTTTTGGTCTATGAAAAGTAATAGTGAAAATAATCAGTCAGTTGATCTATTTCCTTTTAAACATAAGATAACAATTTTCCCTCAGGAAAAATGTTCAGAAAAGTAGAGAGTTTGAAAAGAAACTTAAATGAGGATTACACATACAAATTTTTAAAGTATTCAATTACTTCAGTTATTTGATCTTACATTAAGTTGGGACTAACTGAATTGACTGTGATTGGAGTAGTAGACCATTCAGATTTGATCAAGTCCCCCCCCCCCCCCAATTTTCAAATCAAAGGGCAAATTACTCTAACTTCTACTGCAGGAGTGTTAACTGGAATTGGAACTCAATCCTAGGTGTGCAGATTTTAGAAGGTTATTAAACTCATCTGATTTGTTTATGCATAGGTTACTGAATCATATTGTTATTTAAAAAAAAACTTCATATTCATACCTGGTTAGACATTGATCTTCCTTTGATTACACTCGTTTCTCCACAAATGTCATCATTATCGTACCAACGGAAGGATTTTTGAATGTCCTCAATATATATATTCTCAGTTCCAGCATCAAGTCTCACACACCTTGGAGCACCTATGTATTGGAAAACTCATACTACAATGAACTGAGACAAATATGGTTTCTTTGTTCAAATAAATATATTTTACAAAATAATGCATTTTATGTGTATTTTTTATTCTGTATCAATACAAAATAATGTATTTAGAATGTTACTTAGTAGAAAATTTTAAACTTGTGAAAATTAAACTGCATTTACAGTATCAATGATTTGTAAAAAATATATACTCAATTATTTCCTCCAGGTATTTCAAGAAATATGATGCTACAACAAAAGGGTCATTGTTTGTTCTTGCAACTTTAAGCCATAGTATTCGTCTTGAAAATCTGAAAGAATAGGAATTTGATCATTTAGATTAATAGTTAAAATTGTTTTCTGGTATGTAGCTACAACAGTATATAACAATCATAAATTCTATAACTTCATAAATTCGTGTAATCTTACATGACTCAAATGAACACTAAAAACTGATGCACATTAACTTACCCACACATTGCACCATGTATAGCGAAGCCAAATGGCTTCAACTTGTCGTACCCATCAACATGTGCAAGATAATTTGGTCCATTGTTTAGATACATTCTTCTTGTCAAGCAGTGACTTGCTCTTAGATCAACTCCGTCAGGATCGATTATTCTCAATAAACACAACATGTTATCCCTGGAACAGTATATATATAATTAATTATCAACGATTTTAAATCTAACCATTACATTTTAACAAAAAAATGAATTCAATGAAATTATTATAAATATCTTATTTATATAAAACTCATTATAAGCAATAGGCACATCGGTTGAATTCTGTTTATTAATCATAATAAGATAATATACCTTCCTATAAAGATGCCATGTTTCTGAAGAAGTCTTCGTTTCATCGAACGACACCCAAGAAGAGTCTGTCCACAGAACATCATTTCTTCCTTGGAGTAGAATATTTGTAAATCATAAGAAATTTTTAACTTTGTATGAGTTAACTAAAAATAATGAGCTATCATCAAAATGTAGATGTTACTGACGATTTTTCTAGATTTGATCAATCTATCAAAAAAGAAAGATGAAATAAAACACAAGCAATATTACCTGAATAGCCTCATTGCCATATCCACATTGTATGATCTCCGTCTTCTCAAATCAAGTCTGGTCATGCGCGTTTTCACATGTCTACAGCTTAATTATTTTAAAAAATAATGCATAAAATATATCTTAAAATGGGTGATTTTAACTTCAATCACTATTTCTTAAATAACAGATATATACATACAAGTAGAACACGCATATAAACAATCTGTGAATGAGACTATAAATTTAATGTATAGTAACTTTATTACTCTTAGAGAAAATATTAGCCTATACAGGTACTTATATTATCATAACTTATGACAATTAATAATACCTACCTTATTTTCACACCATAATTACTCCAAAGAAAGAATATGTTTCTTTATTATCGTATCTGTTAAAGAAATATTCTTGAATCTTTCCGTCAACAAACGCCATGTTGTGCAATGACTGCTGGGAATGTTATCCGGTTATAGAAAGTACTAGTCGATAGAGCGATGGTGCAATGACACGATGACGATAGTGCGATAAAGCAATAACGATGACACGATATAGCATCGCGTCATCACTATCGTGCCATCGCATCATCCCTATCGCACCATCGCTATCGTGCTATCGCTTCATCGTACCATCGTCATCGCACTGTCGTGCCATCGCATCATCGTCATCGCGCTATCGCACCGTCGCTTCATCGTTATCGCACCATCGCTTCATCGTTATCGCATTATCGTGTCATCGCACTATCGACTCAAACCTCGATGGTGCGATGATGCGATAGTGAACTGCATGGCCCTATGCGGATTCCTTAGTTTTGTGTACTTATTTGTGAAATTTAAAAGATCAACACCTCAAATACATGTGAATATTATTGCATGCAAACAAAGGACTCCGACCACTAATATTTTTATTCAGCACCCCATCTCCCGGTTGCACATGTAGCGTAGAAATATTCTAGGACCCTTACAATGTACAAATGCTCGTGTTACTAAAAACTGCTCTCGGGTTAGAAGTTTTGATGTGTATATTATTGTTAAGATGCACTCCTTAGGCGTCTTGCAAGTAATGGAATGTTCAGCATAAAGTGAAAGTCCCCTTTTAAAATCGACGTTAGAATGAACTATCATTCATCCGTAATGGTATATTGATAATTTGGCACATATCAGCAACACTTGTCAGCTTGTCCCCATTTATTCCTTCTACATTTAAGGTTCCTATCTAAGTACAGAGGGAAGTTGATGGCTGTCACTGGGTTGTGAAGCTGCTTACAACTAATGATGATGTACATTGCCTGAAAATTATATTTTCATCTCTATGAATTTTATCTCTGGCGTAATTGAGCTTCATGTCCAGTTCCTTTTTGATAGTTTGATAATCAGTTCACGTCCTTTTACATCCTTTTACAAATTTATCTTCATTAAAAAAGCACTGATCTTAGTAATTCAGCATCACTTATTATTAATAAGATCAAATAAATCAGCAGTGATATCTGCAAAATAAGCGTAAGAATTAGATTACCGCTTTTCAGCTCACTGAACTCTAATATTTTTTTCGTCTAAAGACATATTCTTGGTGCATAAATATTGTAAGAGTTTTCTTAATCGTATTCTCTTCTGAATATAAAATTTCAGTTGTGGACCAATAAAGTGATTTACATAAATAACAAGGAGCTTTAATGAGTAATTTATGATTAATACACACTATTATATTGATAAACACAGAAGCTGCTAAATCATTAACATGGCTGTATTGTTTTTATTACCAGTCATTAGTATATAGTTTTGTAATTGTCTTCCTTATATATATTTGTTTGCAACATAAAGGCTTTTTAAGTCCCTCAGCTACAAACGTGTCGGCTTGTTTCAGTTAAGTACAGCTATGCATTGCGCTAATTATGAGGAAACATTTGATGCGAACATAAAGATGCAATCTATAGAAAACTTTCATCTTCACGACATTTTTTCTTATGTTTCTCCTTTGTATTCCTCAAATAAAATACATAAACATGCGACAAAGTTTAATTTAGGTTAAAGACTCGTAACAATGCCAAGGAATAGTAACAGTGTCAATATACAATTTACAACATTGTAGTCAATGGATATGACAAGACAAATAAGATATCTTGCGCTTTATTTGTTAGCATTTTCTTCATTTCTTTGTAACAAAACTGGACGAACATATCTCCACATTCCCGGAGACTTTATTTTAGGTGGACTCATATCCGTTCATTTTCCAAACGACGATGGATGCGATAATAAAATTGACCCTCACGGAATTCAACTGTTGGATGCTATGATATTTGCGCTATCGGAAGTCAATGTTTACTTAAGAGAGAAGGGAATAACACTTGGTTTGAAAGCATATGATACTTGCTACAGCATTAACCCGTCCTTGGAATACTCCTTAGAATTTGCTCAGCAAAGTTTCTACACGAAGCAAGAGGAGACTGGATACAATAATTGCACGGCACTGCCGTCAAGACGGGTGATAGGGGTAATTGGTCCAGCGACTAGTAGAGAGACACAATATGTGGCTACTCTGCTTACTCTGTTCAAAATGCCACAGGTAAACATGCATGCTTAATGAAAAAAAAATCATTAATGAAAAAAGTGAGTTAACAAACAGTGATCGATCTTGAGAACATCCAGAAACAATAAAAATCTGTGAACAGGGCATAAAACAATATCAGAGATAGGGTCAGGTGACTAGAAGGATTAGGCATTAAACACAATAAGTGTTGATCACGTAGACGGAACGTTCCATAGTCAAATTAATGTAAAAAAACAAAGGCTTATAAATTGTTATGTAAAACGACAGCAAAATGATAGGATATATATGCTAACATGGCCATTACAACCTTGGGCCAAGCGAGGTTTTGCTATGGAAATATGAAGAAAAAAAATTAAAATTTGTTTTCAAGACCAATACGTCCTTAATGTGTCATATTGATAAGCAGACTTCTTCAAGTAGTGCAAATTCACATTTGGTCAAATCAAAGGGGAAGGAGAGGGTTATAGAATGAGGCAACTATTGGAGATAAATACTTTTATTAGTAATATATAGGGAAAATATCTTAAAAATTCCTTTCAAGACCAGAAACTCATGATTACTTACATAAACATAAAAGGAGCCTCGTAGAATGAAGGTTGATGTTCTTTTAAGCCCGGCCCCCATATGGGAGTTAGTCTGGCAACACAATACCGGTCAACATTTCTCATGTGGACAAAAAGGAAAAATATATTGGTATAATCATCTTTTGATTAAAAAAAAAATTCTGGTGAGCATTGTGGCCAATGAGCCTGTCGTTTGACATGTTGTATATGACAAAAAATTTATTTTGTATATTGATTGCAGCTTTTTAAAATTATAATTTTTAATTTTTAAAAAAAGTATAGATTTTATTAAAGTAATCAAAATATAAACCAAAAAACGTTTTCATTACTACAGATTAGTGGCACGGCTACTTCTTCAGCTCTTAATGATGGACAAAAGTACAAATATTTCAAGCGAACGGTGCCCTCGGACACATACCAGGCCAAAGGAATTGTTCAGCTTCTCAGGTACCTCTGCTTGAATTTAATGAGGAATAAAAGCAGCGCTCATATGATACTGACTTCATTTTCTTTTTCTTAATAATTAATAATCAGTAAAGAAATTTAAGATCAAGGATGTTATAAAATTAATTTAATCAGCATTTTAAATGATGGTACTGCAAGTGCAATTCAGTAATGAAAATAATGGCTTGAATTTAATTTCTAGTAATGCCAATCCCTATGAAGTGAAACTAATAACATATCAAATGTTTAAAAAAAACAATGAAATCAAAGTCGAAAAAGTTAAGGAGTTTGGATCCCATCAAAACTAATGAGAATTTTTTTATCAGGTATATTTTTAGAATTTATACACATAGCTTAATAAAAAATCAAAACAAAAAATGGGGGTCAATGCGCTTCTTTTGGCGCTCCAGAGCGTTTAGTTTGACTTTTTTGCACTGTAAATGCGTCTTACACATAAATCAATTTTAATTTTTATTAAAGTTTTTCCTCCAATATTTTTTATTCAAATAAATTATGGGAACAAACACAGTCTTATTTCATCTTGAATAAACACATTAAAATTTGTGACAACGAAATTTTTTTCAATTTACTCCGCATGTTCAATTATTTGTCCTTTTTGCACTCAAAAAATTTTATTTTTCTGGCATTAAAAATTCAACAAGCAATAAAATCATTTGAAATGAAATATATGGAGATAACGAACAGTATTCAAGCTCAAAAGTCCATTAAACAATACAAAGTAGGAGCAGAGCAAACACGGACCTCCAAACATCAGAGGTGGGATCAGGTGCCATGGAGGAGTGAGCATCCCCTGCCGACCGGTCACACCCGCCGTGTGCTCCTTGTCATGATCGGGAAATAACGGAAAAATCCGTCGATAATTCAGTGTGTAAATAATGGCCTAACAATTAGTGTGAAAAACGTCAGTCAGCATTTGACTCAATGATAAATTGTATTTGCTGACAAGGTCATTGTATCGACCAAAGTAATGACATTTTACTGAATTTAAGAAGAATGGTCAAAAGTATCTTATATATTCAGAAAAGAAAATAAAAAGTGGGGGTCTGTGATGTTAATTTTTAGATATTACTAAAAAAGTGCTCATTTTAAGCTTAAAATAAGGCTATTTTTTTCTTGATTTTCACAATATATTTGCTATATTTATCAAATATGATGATAGAATTCATGTCACTTTATTTAATATATAATTTAGGACCAGTATAAAACAGTTCACTGCACAAAATAACTCTGTGTGCAGACTGCATGTAAATATAGGAATCCAAACTTAACATACTTTAAATACTTCGAAAGAGAAAAAATGACCATTTTCTTCTAAAAAACCTTCCGCCACAAAATATAGTTCCTCACCTAATGCTTTTGTTATGGAATTTAATCATGGATTTTTAACTGAATATAGTTTAATTGGCATTGTAGAATCCAAATTTATTGTAAGAATTAAAACTTTATGCAGAATTTTTGAAATATTGGTTAAGATATAAATCTGCTCAAAAGCTCAGGAGTGAACCTCTTTAATTAATAGTCTGATGTAGTGAAAAGAGAAGCATAACGAAAAATCAGATAACTACGAGGGTTGTACGGTAAAATAATAGACAACGTGTTTTTATAGGAAAATAATGTGTTAAAAATGGTCTTTTACCCGAAAAGGTGTTACGCTATGAATGCTAAATAGTCTGAGATTTACCGGTCAAAACTACTACTTCTACAATTATATTCAGAATTCAATAAAACATGCACAGAAATAGACTACCAGTATTTAAAGATGTATAGTTCTAATTATAAATTTTGATTTTCTTTTTATAAAAAGTGTTTTCCTGGTTATTAAAACTAGAATCTTACGAGAAATTGCAAAGTGGAAACCATTTTTTTTAAAAATAAAGTTGCACTTATTCATTTCAATCACAGGGGTTCGCGTACCTATCAATTTAACCGAAATTTTCAGTAAATAAAAAAAATACGTAATACCTATAATAATAACACAAGGAGTGCAACGCATTCCAGGTCACCGGGGAACCCCTCTCTTAATATCGAGGCTGCCGCGCAATCAATTTTCAGTCGAAAATTATAAACACAAACCATTCTTTTCGGAAGGAACCATTCTTTTTTGTCTGCTAATGCATATGATTTGAAATGCCTGTTTAACAACAGTAGCAGTGATATTTCTGATCGACTTCGCTCAAACGTTGGTTGTCCGCGACGCCATTACGTGACGTTGTGATGGGTGCGTTGATTTACCCAAAGAAAAAAAAATGCCAAAGATGAATAATAATATGGAAATTAAGATAATTTAAGGTCATGTACGATATGAATCTTCTACAAACCAATTCAACAGTTCTCCGTTTTTACATACAGGTGTAAATAATGTGAAGAATACAACGTACAAAACGATACATATAAGAAATCAAAATGAATCACATGTACTTCCAGTAGACAAATGATTTGAACGTAACAGGGAAATGTTTAGAGCAGTGTCTTTCTCCGAAAAGATAATTATCATTTCCTTCTGACATTTGAAACATCAATTCAAAAAATGCTTCGGGCACTTTTTGATATTCTTGCATGAAGTGTGCGAGGGTCTGTCAATGTATGTGTAAAATGAATTATTTAATAATGTAACACTGCATGCTTGTGAACAAAATTGTGAGTGATAAAGTTCAATTAAAAAAAATCATATATCCCCCCAATAAATAAAAGTAAAATGGAAACGCACGTCCAGCGATTGAACAACCCTTGAATATCACCCCCCCCCCCCCCGCCAACTTGTACGTAAATACATCCCACATATATAGATACTTCTGAAATGGTCTCTGTTAAAACAACAGACAGCTAATAATCAGAAAAGCTTATTTGAGCCTTCTGCTCAATTGAGCATGAGCACAAATTATAAGTGTTACGTTTTTTTTTTTAAATAAGTATTTAATAGGTTTTTTATTTACTGAAAATTTCGTTACAATTGATGGGTACGCCATCTTCCGCGATAGTACTGATTAAATTCTCAAAGTAAACGATTGTTGAATAATCTTTTTGTTCTTCCTTTTTTTACTTTTCCTCGCCAAAATTGAAGTCACATTAACTTGGATTGGAACCCCCCCCCCCCCCTCTACTTCCTACTTTCAAGTTTTTTTAACACCTTAAACGTAATCTAGTATTAATATATGCTTAATTTTTTACATACTACATTGAATAAATTCAATAAGGGTTGGAAAACGTATATCTGTTCAATGTCTAAAAGGTCAAGACAACAAGGAGTACTTTAGTATACTTAAGTTAATAATCAATTATAAAGATTCACGGGCAATTATTTTTTTTTTAGTATTTTAGAATAAAAATGAAGATGACGTCAGCCCCCCAAATTATTCACATATTTTTCTATCTATACATAAAAATTTAGATTTATTAACCGTAAGTTGTGTATTGAACCCCCCCCCCCTTCGCCTAATGCCCCACAAATCTTTTAAATACCACTGCTAACTTATTATGTAAAATGTTTCATATATTTTATATATATTTCACAATAGACAAACAAGTACAAGTACACGAAGAAAAAAAAAAATATTGAAACAGATTTGGTTTAATTTCATGTATATATATGGTACACAGGTAAACTTCACAATTGAATTATATTTTTTGAAAAGATGTAGTATGATAACTGCAACAGTGTGTGCAAACGCATTGAGTAACGCGAGTTGGCAAGTTATATAACACCTTTCAAAAATAATAACTCAATGCTTATACCTACATTTTTTTAACTCCGTGCCTTGTCTGTAAATGTAATTTTTATTTCCAAATTCTTTGGGTAAAATTCAACCAATGGAAGATCCAGTGCGACAGGTACTACCTTGAATTTTGAATTTTGTTGATGACGTTGCACCTGCACGACGTTCAACTTTTGTGAAGTCAAAATAAAAATCAGGTAACGATTTTACTTCCCCGACCGTGTTATAGTGTTTTGAATGCTAAAACTTTCCACACATTTGATTGCAAAATACTTGTGTAATGTATAAATTAAAAAAAAAATGTCAAAATAAGAACCACAATAAATAAAACAATCTAAGAAGCCTTTGTCCAACATGAATTAGTGAAACCTAAAGAAATATTCACATGCAACAAATACTAGAACCTATGCAGCACAAACCGTTAAAATGTGGTGAAACAAACAAAATTAGGTGAGATTTATCTTATTTTAAATATCCCGATAAATGACATACGTTATACAATTTCTACCTAAGAATTCTTAGTAGCCCCAGTTGTCGATTTCTGTTTGGTCTATATTCTGCAATTCAATCTCATACGAGTCTTGATCGTTTGAACTCACCTGACTCATGTTTATAAAATGATTTTTTTCTTCTTTAGAGCAAATGGATGGGTGTATGTTAGCATTTTGTACGAAGATTCTAGCTATGGTAGATATGGTTACAATGACATCAAAAAGTTTGCACGACTTGACAACATATGTATTGGATATGAGAAGCAAACCTCAGAGGATATGACAGATTTAGAGATCACGGAAGTTTTAACAGATCTTAAATCAAGAAGGAACGAAAAAGGTACACTATTTGAATTCAGTGTTCTTTAGATGATATGTATAAAGAAAACTTAGATATCGTAACAAGTAAACTGTGAATAAGAAATTAATAAGGTTCATCCACCTTATAAATTGTAGACCTATCTTTGTAAAGAGCGCCTTTCATTTGCAGATTTTAAAAATATTATGTTATATTTATTAGGAAAAATAGCGGTAGTTCTGTTTATGCTGTATCGGAATGCATACAGAATTATTCAACGAATTCATGACATGCGCATTGAAGGCTTTATATGGACTGTAAGTGACGGATTAACCGGGCTTGATCCCCCTGTTGGACTAGAAAATATCATGGATGGAGCAATCGGATTAGCCTTAGAGACTTTAAAATATCCAGGATATATCCAATACGTAAATAAGTGAGGAAAAATGTTGCATTTTTTTTAGTAATACAGTGTAATACATCTTGGACAAAACAATTTTGAATTATTAATGTCAGAAACTTTGGCCAACTAATATCATGCTACATAATACTTTTCATCGTCATTGCAGCCAAAGTAGAGAAACAAATGCAAATCCATGGTATTCAGAATTCCTCCAGGAATATTACCCCAACTGCACAACGGGAAACTGTGGGCGGATTAATAACACAGGTATATAAACATAAATATGGACAATTGTAGACTATCAAAGATTTGAATTCATTCATATTGTTATTATATATTATATATAGCTAATTATAATTAAATTACTTTAAAGTGCTTTAACATTAGAATAGATATGAAAGAATACAACAATCAACTAACACTTAATCTAGAAATTTAGACGGACAGAGATAATTAAAAATGATTTAAAGATTTGATCCTGAAGTAGCAAGCCATTATATATATACATTTTGATTACGGAAAAAGGTCTTAAATGATAACACAGATTTACAAATTAAAAAGAGCCCAGAAACTATAGACACTAAAATAGAAATTACATAATTACTATGTATACAGATAGGGCTAAAGATATATATATCCATTTTAAAAAGATAAGGCGTAAGACACGTCTTAAAATTGCATAGATTTGATTCATGTCTCATAGCTGCCAGGAGACAGTTCTAGAATGCAGATGATCTTACATCGAAATGTCGATTCCCGTATAACCTGGTTTATCTACTTTCTAGATTATATCTATAAAGTAATACGAATCAACATTTCCCAAGGACTTCAAAGCATACCATTCCAATGAAGATTTCAAACTAACAAAATTAGGCAACAGATCAACAGATTCTGAATTAAGAGTTTTATATAGCCTATAGTGATAGTAAATGTTACGAATGTATTTATAGTTATGTTCGCCTTTGATAAAACCCTTGAAAGTATTTTTTATAACTTCCAAACCGTTCACGGTAGCTCAGTCGGTAGAGCCCTCGCTCCGTGATCGGGAGGTCGTGAGTTCGAATCTTGGCCGCGACTGGCCTAAGTCGATAAAATATGGGAAGCAACTGTTTCTTCGCCATGCGCTCGGCACTTTAAAGTGAAGTTGCAGGTCCTTCGGATGAGACATTAAAAACCGAGGCCCCTTGTCAGGTCAGGCGTTGGCACGATAAAGATCCCTCACTGCCCAATGGCCCTGAGTGCCGAGTAAAGGTCAGAATTTGAAGCCCTTCACCGGTATAATGGTGACGTCTCTGTATGAGTAAAAAATTCTCGAATGGGGCGTAAAACAACATACAATCAATCAATCAATTTATAACTTCCAGCGTTTTAATAAAGGCATTTATGTTCTCAGGTCAATGCCCTTCCCATAGGAATTTGAAAATAAGAACTTAAATTCTGATTTGTAAAGCTTAATATTGGAACCTGTCTATCAAACAAAAATTTGAAACATAGTTATAACAAACAATATTAAAACCAAAAAATGAAGATGTCACTGAAAATATTTCTCTTAAACTAATTTTTACTGCTTATATTCACCAGGTGTCCCGTATATAATCAGCATCCGAGATGCTGTTTACGCATTTGGCAATGCCATTCTAAGCATTCATTCAGAGATGTGCAAGAATGATACTGGTGTATGTGAGAAAATCAAAGAAAAGTTAACAGGAGATTTATTGTTAGAATACCTCGAGAAAAGCAAAAGTGAGAACACGAATTGAAGATAAGAATTTGAAGTTTAATAATATTAATAAAATATCACAATATAAAAAGGAGATTTTTTAATAAATTATTTAATTTAAATAACAGATCCTTTCAACACTTCATTCCATTTCGTTGATGGTGTTGAAGGACCCCCTAGATACAGCATCCTACAGTACAAAGGAAAAGGCAACAACTTCAAATGGACTGAAATAGGAAAATGTATCACATCTCTGATTTCATTTATCTACTTCAACTAGATTTTACCTTACAAAATGAAATTTAGAGCTATATATTCTTGATTCAGGATCTAAATATAACTTATGTGAAAATGACTTATTTTCTCTTTAAAACCAGTTGTAGGAGAGGAATTGGTACTCGATGCTGTTAAGTCGGAAGCAGCGTGTTCTGTGACATGCCTTCCTGGCTACATTAAAAGAATAACTGAGATATGCTGTTGGGACTGTATACTTTGTCCTCGTGGAACTATCACTAATTCCTCAGAACCGTACAGCTGTACAGATTGTTCACCTGGATATATATCAAATTCAGACAGAAATGAATGCATTCAGATTCCAATATCTTTTTTTACATATGGAAATCCCTTCTCTGGTGCTATTCTTGTATTGTGTGTTCTGGGTTCTGTTTTATGCATTGTTGTATTTGTTGTATTTTTCCAAAAGAGAAATACGCCTCTCCTTAAAGCCACTGGTTTTGAAACCAGTATGGTATTGCTTTCCAGTATTCTTATGTCGTATATATCACCTTTTATTTTACTAAGCTACCCTTCTTATCTATCCTGCGCAGTATCTCGATTATTTATCGGTATGAGTTATACCATGGCGTATTCTTCCGTTCTTTCTAAGCTAATTGTTTACAAGAGAGCATTCGATGTGAAATCTGGAATCAAGCAACACACAGCGAAAGGACAAAACTTACCAAGACCTTACATGTGTACAATGATGACTGCTTTGTTACTTTCTCTTGCTCTTTCAGCTATGCAGCTTCTTGCTATAATATTCTGGCTTATAATTGATACTCCAGAACATACGATAACGTACGATCTTACGTCCGATCCTCCAGCTGGTCACCGCACATGTCGAGACTCTAATAACTTCAATTATTTTGTTCTACTCTTCTGGCCTTTTATGCTAATGATTGCATGCCTTATCCTTGCCATCAAAACAAGAAAACTCCCGGAAGGTATGAACGATTCACGTGAAATCATGTACTGCTCTTTCACTTCCTTTATCATCTGGTTAGCGTTTGTACCTCTGTATGCTTTCTCCACAACTATTGCTGCACGAGTTATCTCTCTTTGTGTTTCATTGTTCATTCATGCGACAGTTTTTCTCAGTTGTCTTTTTTTGACAAAGATTTACATCGTGGTCTTTAGACCAGAGAAAAACAACAAAGACCGTGTAATGAGAAGTACAGCTGCCAGTCCTAGCAAAACTCATAACACATATAGCGATGCCCACCATAGCAATGATTTACAGGCAAAAGGCAAAAAGCAAGCCTTAAATGATTCATACGACTCAATTGTAGAATATTCGCCATCTAACGGTAAGAAATCTCTGTTTTAATCTTCAAAATATTTTATTCTTTTTTATTTTCATTTTTGATTTAGATTTGTACTTTTTTGACTATATAGTTTGATTTTTATATTCGTTATAAATGCATAACTTTGGAGTTATATTTACCTGTCAACCTTCATATTGTTTACAGTGGAGTTAGAACATAAAGTCTCCCTCCAAAAATCCACCTTAATTAAACAGTGAAGGATTCAATGCAGGAGATGGGATTGTTGAGATTACTGAAATAAACGCCGCTCTACAACTCCTATGCAGGGATTACTCTATACCTTGATTAGTAAAAAAAAATCCCGAAATAAAAGCTGTCAATCCTAATTGATCCCATATTTGATTACAGAATGATTTGGAAGGAGACGTCGTCCTGTAATAAGATATTTGGATTTAATAATGGATTTAACAAAAAGAAATGTTTTGAAACTTTTGAAAAAATATATATTAATGATGTTAATGATCATTCTGTCTACCACTCAAATACGTGATGTACACTTTAACCAAAATAAAACATTCTTAGAAATTACATGTCATAGTACTTTTCAAATTGTAGTCCGATGCAATACCTGTGTTTTGTCACACATGCTCTGGAATACTTATTATCTATTAAAGAAGTTGAACGTGTCTTTCTACAATTTCAATTGAAAATCCCACAAATTGGTCAATTATGTCCTACACATGTACAGGTATGTCACAGACCCGCGTGAACTGGAGGAGGAGGCTGGGTGTATTTTCAAGTCTATTCTATGCAGTTGAAACTAATACTCCTTTAGATTGTGTTCTTTAGTTGATAATGTCTATGATATTATTTCATTGCATTTCATGTTAGGTCAATATAAGGACAGAACAATCAGAGGTAACACAATGAGAACAAAAGGTTATTGCACAAGCTACAAAATGAAATGTTAATGCGATTATAAAAATGCAAATATAATGAAAAATAATTTATTTTTCTCTTAAAAAGAAAATCAGAAGTGAATCAGGTGTCTGCAAGGATAAAGCTCTCCCTGCCTTTATCTTAATTTAATTTTGATTAATGGTCATTCCAAAGGTATTTGGAATGACCCTTAATCAAAATTAAATTAAAATCAATGCGTCTGTGTCCTTTAAAGTAGCCACAGCTTCTGTCGTATCTCATAATGCACATTTATACGAAATGTCACTTAAATGAAATGCTGAACCTTAATTTAATATTTCAAAAAAAATTATAATGCTGTGAAAAGATTGAAAGTACCAGAAAATCTTACGACAAATGATACCCCATTTAAAATTCATGTCAGATTTTTTGAAGTGACAAGAAATTACCAAACACTAAACGGCCAACGATATTTTCTAGTCAGATACCCTGGTATTTCATTTTTATTATTTGATAAATTAAAGTTTGAAGAATTGTCACCACTAATCAGTCTATGATGCATTTATCTGGTTCGAATCTTTATAATTGCCGATAAATTCAGAATACTCAGGAGCGCGAGATTGTTGCCTGCTTATACAATTGTATATATAAATATAATATAAAAGCATTTACTTAGACTATGTACACATTTGTTCTATTGTTGTTAGTCTGTATAATGTAGACACTGAAACGATCTCTTAAATAAAGAATATTCCTTCTCCTGATCCTGGTGGAAATATATCGCATTTACAAGGAATAATGTCGAAAAATGAATGTTAAAACACCAGAACAAATGTATTAAACCTAAGAAATTTCATCATGTAAGCAGTTACCATAGGAAAGGAAAACAGTACAAAAGCTATCTAACCTTAACCCTGAATGACATGGTAGCTAGGAGAGCAAACCCTGACAGAAAATACGGAGTTCTGTAGACGGTTGGTCGAACCTTGTGACACATAATGACGACTTCCGGCAACTCCTGCAGCTTTGCTGCTGGTAACTCATCATAGAATTAACGGTACTTAATTTCTACAGCATTTCTCTTAATATTTCCGCATTGGATTAATGCTTCTTTCTGAAGCATTGCTCTTGCTAATTCCGTAAAGGATGAATGCTACTTTCTGAAGCATTACTCTTAATAATTCAGCATAGGATCCCTACTACAATATATAGCATTTATCTAGTAATTGAGATTGGCACAATGTTACTTTCTATAGCTTTGCATAAATATTTCTTTATTGGATAACTACTAGTATTTGTGGATTTTTTTCTTGGTAATTTAGCATAGGGTTAGTGCTACTTTTTATAGCAGACGTCTTATTGATTGAGAAAAAGGGGTAGCAGAAACAGCATTCAAAGTTTACAAGTCAAAATAAATAAATAAATAAATATATACATGTAAATAAATAAATAAATAAATATAAAAAGTATCAACATTGGCAGTTAAAACATTCAAGGAAACATTATACTGTAATTGTAATATGGCGGAGAAATAGAAAATTAAAGTTACACACTTTTTTTTTTTACAATGTTTGAGAATTTGCAATTTGAAGTACACCTTTGTTTCAAATTATGGCATTAGCAAACAACTGAATAATTATTAATGTGACTGTAATTTCATGTTTCTAATCAGTAATAGTACCTTTTCTTTTGATTATTCTTTTTTTCTGGAAGCCAGTATTCGTTTGCCTTTTTGTCGGATTCACGGTTACAAGTTGTAAATTATATACGGTATCAATTTTGATGCATCAGATGTGCATTTCGACAAATTATGTCTCTTCAGTGATGCTCAAGCCAAACGTTGGAAATCCAAAATATTTCAATAAAAACGACTTGGAAGAGCTGAAAAAAGGTGCCAAAGACTGGAGCCAAATACATTGAAGGATCAGAGCTATGCCCGAGGGAGATAATCCTTAATTTAAAAATAAATTTCAAAATTTTATCACTGCAATTTAATATTTATCCGTATTTTCAAGCTAGTACCGAAGTACTAGGTTACTGGGCTGTAGAGACCCTCGGGGACTAACAGTCCACCAGCAGAGGCCTCGACCCAGGAATCAAGATGTAAATTATATACGGTATCAATTTTGTTGCACCAGATGCGCATTTCGACAAATTATGTCTCTTCAGTGTCTTTTCAATGTCTCTACAAATGCATCAATGTTATTACATTATCAGGCTTTACACAGTTAAATATCTCGCTATAGATGAGGAAACATTTGATTCATACCTAAAGCTGTGATACAAAAACAAGCTTTATCTGCATTCCAGTAGTTTCCTTATGTGCTCAACTTTTTAAATATAAATTAAAAAAAAAAAAAAAAAAAAAAAAAAAAAAAAAAAAAAAAAAAAAAAAAAAAACGACGAAGTAAAATTAAAGTGTAACATTTGATTTAATACCAAGGATAAAAAACAGTGTCAATATATAACTCGACAGAAAAAGGTAGAAATGGCCACGACAAATGGAAAAGGACAACCTGCCTTTTATTTACTTCTAATCGGGTCAATTTATTCTAATGAGCTTGAATTACATTTCTACATATTTCCGGAGATCTCTACTCTTCTTGAATGTAGCATGCACAACAGACAAACAATCTCTAAAAGGAGGCTATTGACAAATATGTTGCAATTGAGGAAACAAGGGTATCAACAGTCTCATTTAAAGTCAATATTTCGCAAATACTATGGTCGATACAATGACCTTGTCAACTAATACAATCTCTCAGCAAGTCAAATTTGAATGACGTTTTCCATAGTAATTGTTAGGCCATTATTTTTTATACTGAAATGTCTATGAGTCTTCCCGTTTGCGCGATCATGACATGGAACACAAGGCAGGTGTTTAATAGAAAGGTAAACATGCATTACTTGCATAGAATATCGATTGCTATCTTTCGAATAAGCAAAAAAAAAAAAAATAAATAAAAAATTGGTCCATATTTTTTTGAAATGTTTCTTTTAAAACGGTCATTTTTTTTTATTCTACATAAATATTTAAAAATAATAATCAGAACAAATGTAATTGCATGTATTTAAAGCTAATATTCAGAGAGACTTAGTTTTATCCTGAAATTCAGCAGATTTCCACTTGCATTTTAATGAAAATTGCTACTTTTTAAAGCAATATATCAATAACTTTACAAATTCGGCAAAGAAAAAAATCCTGTCTTGACTAAAATGAAATAGGAAGATAACGAACAATCCAAGGAAACGATACAAATTTGGAGCAGGGCAAACATGAACCTCAAAATTTAGAGGTGGGATTAGGTGCCATGGAAGAGTGAGCATCCCCTGCTGACCGGTCACACCCGCCGTAGCTCCTTGTGATGATCGGTGAAAAAAAAAAAGGAAAAAATCCGTAGAGAGTTCAGTGTATAAATACTGGCCTACCATGTAGTATGAAAAACATCAGTCACCATTTGACTTAATGATAGGTTGTGTGTACTGTCGAGTTCATTGTATCGACCGTAAAACTTGCGAAAGGATGACTTCAAACGAGACTGTTGATATCCTTCTTTCATCAACTTTTTGTCCAAAACTTTTGTCAATGTCTCTTCTAAGAAATTGTTCATATGTAGAGCATCTTGCGTATCGAATCAACTAAGAGACATAAACCCCATTTGCAGGTGATAGTGGTATATTGGTACACTAATGAGGGACTTTGACAATTGAAAAGTTGAAGTCATCATGTTTATCATAAAGTTTTATTGTTAGGTAACCATGGACGTCATTTCCTAGTAAAATAGCTCAATATGAAACAGATGTGTCAGAATCTGTGGTATCTTTTATTTCAAGCTCACTGGGATTAACGAGTCGACATATGAATGAAGGTAACTATTGTTAATTGATAATACGTCGTCGATATGTCGAAATGTCGAGTTGAAGGCCACAGCAAGTGTTTTCTTCTTATGTGGAATTTTTTAAAATAAATTATGCTTCATATGAATACAAAAATAGGTCTGCTAATAAGGGGGCGCGATTGGTACCCATTGGAATTTCAACAGATTGTTGGAAGACCTGATCTCCAAAATCTACATAGATATTGTCAATCAGAAATCCAAACATCTTTTTCATATCAACTTCAGAGTACGTGTGTGTACAATCAGAGTAATTTTTAACAAAATAATTTTGCAAATGACCAATGACAATATTTACGAGTTCCATTTTTATTGAAAAAGCAGCTGTCTGTGGTGTTAAAAAGCCTTGACTTCAATTTATCGTGGGGAATGGTTGTAAAAAGTGTTGAAAAGTCGTACGTTTTAGTGCTATTGATTTTAGTATAATTTTGTGATTTCAAATTTTCAAAAGTTCTTTGGAGTTTTTCTACATCTGATTAAAACCAATTCTCGAATATACTTTTGTACAGTACTCCTGAAGTTTCTCCTTCATTACAGTAAATACTTTAGTGAGGAGTAAAGAAAGAGGCTTGGTAGAACAAATACTGGAACCCGCTATGTATCTTTGTTTGTAGGGATTTTTATGAAGTTTAGGAATCCAGTAAAGGTATGGTAATTGAAACTCATTATGATTGTTTTGAATATTAAAAATACCTAAAATGGACTTATGATTAAGAAGAATTTCCTCCTTAGAAAGGGAGCTTTGGGTGTAAGTTGGACTTCCACCTGTAGAATTAAATCCTAGTTCCTGTAAAATACAATTCAAATTATGAGCCTTACAAACAAAGACTATGTTGTTACCAGACAAAGTTAAAACAAAATAATTAACTAACATTGATGTAAGTCTTTGCAAGATAGGTGTTTAAGAAATTCAGATTTATTTGTTCTCGAACGACGAAGTTCACAGTAGTACAATATTTATCTTCAACTACATATCCTCGATGAATGATATCCAGCAGGATTTTGTATCTATGCGAACTTCTCAATAAATTCCAGTTGTAGAAAAAAAATATATCGTTGAATTAAAATTGCACTTTGCTTTTAGGAGACAGGTACTTGATGTTATATATATATATATATATATATATATATATATATATATATATATATATATATATATATATATATATATATATATATATATATATCAATACACACAAAAATTCCGAAATCATTAAGACGTGTTTCATGTTTTTCTTCCGTGTCAGTTATACTGTATTGCTTTCCGTATTTTTTAACTCCTCTAACCAATGTGGTTTTCCTTGTATATTTGTCAGCAATAAAAATGCCCTTTTCGGTTCAACAATTACAAGAATATCGATATCTTTAATTTAAACCGTGAACACACCGATGCAGCTCGCTAATTAGGAGGAAACATTTAGAGCATACGCACAGATGATCTAAATAAAAGCATTTCATCTTAATGTCACTGTTTTTTCCTTATGTTTTTTTTTTGCGATATTGAAATAAAATACACAAGTTTAATGAAAAATTAACACTTTCATCAATACGAAAGAGAAGAAACTATGTCAATATACAACCTTCAAGTTGAAATAAATGGATATGGCAAGGCAAATAGGATATCTTGCACTTTATATACTAGCATTTGGGTCGATTTGTTGTAATAATACTGCGCGAACATATCTCCACATTCCTGGAGACTTTATTCTTGGAGGACTTTTCTCAGTTCATTTTACAAACAAGGATGGATGTGATGTTAAAATTGACCCCAATAACGGAATACACCTACTTGAGGCCACGATATTTGCTCTATCGGAAGTCAATGTTTACCTGAAAAAGAAGGGAATAACGCTTGGTTTGATAGCATATGATACTTGCTACAACATTAACCCGTCCTTGGAATACTCGTTAGAATTTGCTCAGCAAAGTTTCTATACGAAAAATGAGAAGACTGGATACAATAACTGTACGACACCGACATCCAGACGGATGATAGGAGTAATTGGTCCAGTGACTAGTAGAGAGACACAATACGTGGCCAGTTTGCTGGCTCTTTTCAAAATGCCACAGGTAAATATACTGTTATGTTTAATCCATTTCTGTGTGGGATATATGGCTAAAGCAATGGGGTACCGTCTCCTGTTATCTTTCCCTTAGAGGGCGCCACAGGCAAACTCGGTCCCGTATCGGAATACCCTCGCGCATTATCAGTATCTAACTATCGAAGAAAACGTAAACAAACCGCTGTCAATCTCTTTTTTAACATGCCTGAAACTTGCTGTTGTGTACCAGAATGCAGTAATCGAGGTGGACATGTGTTTCCCTCTGATCAATCAAGAAGAAAAATTTGGATCCATGCAATTAAATGCGGCGAAACCCGTTTTCAAAGTTGGGAACCTAAGACACATGCTGTTGTATGCAGGGCACACTTTAAAGCTGATGACTACGTAACTGAAACTCAACACGGTATTTATTTATTTTTTAATCAGCTTAAAACTTTATCAACAAAAAAAAATATTAAGAAAAAGTTGCATTTTCCATGTAAATACTTTAATTGCATGTAAATTAATTTACGATGAACCTGTTCCAGACACTGACACATGCATGCCAATATTTGACTCCCGCTGACATTCCCGATTACACTTGTGATCCAGTAAACAAGAAGCATGTCTGGCAGCTCTATAAAACTTCTGGTAATCTATTTATGCATATGTAATAAGCATGATAAGAAATCGTCTTTTGTTTACCCTTTTATTTTCATCTCACACTGTTTAAATCTCTGCATGAACAGATGAAGTCTGACAGATGTTCGGACTTTGTATAAGTATGGATAATAATGTAACTAATTACTGGCTAATCCACTGTGAATTTGAGAAATAAATAAATAAATAAATATATATATATATATATATATATATATATATATATATATAGAATAAATTAAGATTTATATTTTGTATCTTACTAGATAATAAAATTTTAAACATGTTAAAAATTTGTTTCAAAATAAATAAATTATTTTCAAGGAACTACACCCCTGAGTAAAAGACTTAAGAAAAGTGCGGTCCCTAGTATTTTTTCCTGGGTTGAGCCAAGTCCCCATTCAGAGGCCAGATCTGATAGAGCAAAGTCCAGGGGTATCAAGCGAAAATTAGCAGAGGAATTTTCTTCCCAGTCAGAGGATGTAGAAATTATATATGCAAGTGATGAACTGCAAACAACCGAAGAAGTAGTTTTTGATTCAACAATTTTAACTGAAGCTTCAGAGATACCCAAAGTTGAAACCAACCTTTATTTTCAAAATGTGGAGACCCAAACACCTAAACATCCTCCAATGAGCATAGACAATTTTACAAATGATGATGCTGGTGTTCATTTCTATACTGGCCTGGAAACACTACGGAAATTTTACTTTGTTTTGAGAACTCTAGGCCCAGCTGCCTATTATTTAAACTATGTGTATCATCAAGTTTCAAACATCAGTGTTCCTGATCAGTTTTTCCTTGTGCTTTGTAAATTACGCCGCCACACTACAAATTTTGAACTGTCAAGACTTTTTGGCATTTCTGAAAAAACGGTCTCAAATATATTTTTTACCTGGATTCTATTTATGAATAAGCAATGGCGTGAAATTGATTTGTGGCCTTCAAGACATCTAGTTAAATATTTTTGCCCGTCAGATTCTAAAATGAAATTTCCAAATACAAGGGTAATTATTGATGGTACTGAATGTCCCATTAAGAAACCAAAACTTCCTAAATCTCAGCAAGCCACTTTTTGTACATACAAAAACCGTAACACTGTGAAGGTTCTTGTTGGAGTAACACCAGGCGGTTTGACATCCTACATCTCTACAGCCTATGGCGGATCTACAAGTGATCGTCAAATTGTTGAAAGAAGTTGTCTAATAGATATGTGCAATTCGGGTGATTCAATTATGGCAGACAAAGATTTTAATGTGCAGGATATGTTTGTACACAAGAACATTCAAATTAACACGCCAACGTTTTTTAAAAAGAAAAATAGGATGTCCTGTGAAACTGTTATAAAAGATAGAAAAATATCCAGTAAACGTGTACATATAGAGAGAATTATTGGACTTGCAAAGACTTACAAAATTTTAAGTGAACCAATGAACAGTTCAGAATCAAAACTGTCATCTGAAATTATATACATTTGTTTCATGTTGTGTAACTTGAAGAATTGCATTGTGCCATCATATGCATAATTAATCAGATCTAATAAACACTGAATAAAAAGAGTGTTTTATAATTTAAACTTTTATTTACTTATTGCAATTACAAACACCTTCGTATGTTTTGTAAAACATTTTCTCAAGCAAGGCAGATTTGAAGTAAGTTTTGTAAAACTCATCCAATTTTCTTTCATGTCATTTATAAATTTGTCATTTCTTATTTCATTTCATTTCATTATACATGTCTTTAGCTTTCTTGTCCATTATCTTGTTAAACTTTAACAAGAAGGCAGAGATATCTGAATCAGTACATCCTGGAAATGCCTGGCCACTATGGAGGTCTTTATAAAGCTGTGGATCTGGGGTCATCATGAGGAACTTAGGTCCAGAAACGTCAGTCTTTGCACAGTGGGCATTTCTTTTGTAAGCTTCAAGTCTGTAAAAAAAAGTATTATCATAGTTAAATTGATTAAGTTTTTTAAAAATAGATAACAATATATTAAATCTTTTCATGATTTTGTGAATTATATGAGGCGTACACTCACAGGAAAACAAAGACCACTCAGATGACAATGATTGAGGAAATTCGGGAAAAATATATAAGCAATAAAAACGATCATTTTATATCTTTCCAAAAGACTTTTTCAATTAACTGGCGTTTTTAAGGCTATATAAATACAGATCACTGATATTTTATTTCATTTAAATGTTTCCATAAGGTAACAAAAGAGTATAAAAAGATCGATCAGCTGTTTACATTGACATATATATATTTACCTCTCAACGAGCTCCCATTTTCTGCCGCTTTTTTTCGCACCGAGTTTTTCCAACTCTCTTTTTAGCTCAGGTATTGTCATAGCACCAAAATTTGGCATAATCATGTTATTCAATTCGCGAATTGATTAAGTTTGACGTTGTACACGTAACCTCATTACATTTATAAAACTGATTTTAATGATAAAAAGCATTAATAAAATGATAAAAAGAATTATACAGTTAGACAAGACTCTTAAATTGACTTTTCACGGAAAGCGAATTGAATAACATGAGTATATATATACAGAGGCAACATTCTAAACGTCTCCGAAAGGGGAGGTTTTCCCCGGAAAAGGGTTTCTTTGGGGGCCATACAGATAAAAAATGGGGCTTGGATTTTTTGGGGGGATTTTCATTTTTAAAATAATGAAGGAATTGAATGAAGCGAATTGAATAACATGAGTATATACCGACGCAAGTTCAATTTTCCTTTCTATAAAAAGCAAGTGAACCGAATCGATAATACATATCAGATATTAAGAGCGAATGGAATAACATGAGTATATATATAGTGAGGCAAGACTCTTAAATTGACTTTTCACGGAAAGCGAATTGAATAACATGAGTATATATATACAGAGGCAACATTCTAAACGTCTCTGAAAGGGGAGATTTTCCCCGGAAAAGGGTTTCTTTGGGGGTCATACAGATAAAAAGAATGGGGCTTGGATTTTTGGGGGGGATTTTCATTTTTAAAATAATGAAGGAATTGAATGAAGCGAATTGAATAACATGAGTATATACAGACGCAAGTTCTGTTTTCCTTTCAATAAAACGCAAGCGAACCGAATCGTTAATACATATCAGGTATTAAGAGCGAATGGAATAACATGAGTATATATATAGTGAGGCAAGACTCTTAAATTGACTTTTCACGGAAAGCGAATTGAATAACATGAGTATATATATACAGAGGCAACATTCTAAACGTCTCTGAAAGGGGAGATTTTCCCCGGAAAAGGGTTTCTTTGGGGGTCATACAGATAAAAAAAATGGGGCTTGGATTTTTTTGGGGGATTTTCATTCTTAAAATAATGAAGGAATTGAATAAAGTGAATTGAATAACATGAGTATATACCGACGTAAGTTCTGTTTTTCAACGCAAATCAGGTACAACGAATTCATTAACACGAGTAAATATATAAAAATACAAACTATTCCATTTATTCCGTAAATAATACACATTCTTAGTGAACTTTGAAGTCAGTTAAAAATTTGTAAGGATTCACTTATCAAAACCAGTAGATACATATACTGACATAACTTTGAAAAAATCAGGACTGTGGTTGCAAATTTATAATACAGGTGCAAGTAAATTGCATTTTTGTCTAAAAGGGAAGTATATATAAACTTGTCTTATATCTACATTACATATATTTTTCTTCTAATTTTCGAGCCCACTGCGTCAACGAACGTCAAGTTTGATCTATACACTTGAGTACACATCACTCACGTTAAACTTGGACTGTACGAGGCCTATGAAAACAATTGGGTGGTGAACGCCGTGAACACTCTTAACACTACGCTGAATAATATGAAAGAAGGAACACAAATTATTTACATTTTAATAATAGTTGTAATTAGCGTTTTTACCACATGCACTTCAATACGATACGAACTGTTTGAAGAGTGAAATCCCAACAAGATATTTAATACTGCGTTTATTCCGTAAATGGCATACAAATTAATATGTTACGTCTTTATATTTCATCTAATACGAAATAAATAGCAAATGGATGATGTATCTGTTCTTTTCTTTGAACACTAGAAGTACAACAAAATTAAAAACATATTAAATAAAATTCCGTTTATTCCGTAAATGGCATCAATGGCATAACCCGTTATTTTAAAATACGTACTTTACATATAAAATATTAGAAATAAGTAAATTTAATAATTAAAAAGCACATTTTGGTATTTTTCCTTTTAATTCCTTCTCCATTAGTTCTCATTTATTCTGTTTGCAGTATTATATATTTAAATATACGTGAAAACAGAAAAAAATTAGTACATTTACGGAATAAATAGCATATTTTTAATTTAAATTCCTTTCATATTTCTTTTGTTTCTTGTATTATATTCTTAGATATATGTGAAAACAGCAAAAATTAGTACATTTACGGAATAAATAGCATATTTTTAATTTAAATTTCTTTCATATTTCTTTTGTTTCTGGTATTATATCCTTAGATATATGTGAAAACAACATCCTTCAAAAGGAAAAGAAACGTAAACGTTAACGTGTACAACGTCAAACTTAATCCATTCGCGAATTGAATAACATGATTATGCCCAAAATTTGATGCCATAGTGGGTAAAATATGTTTTTGATACGTCTATTTTCTTCGAAAGTGATCTGTAGAATAATCGCCGATAAGCCATTGCTGCCATGCCTATCAGTTTTTGTGTTGGACCGCATTTGCCTGTGGCGACCCCTTACGGTGCAAGATAAGATAACTGACGCCGGTTCACCATTGATAGGTTACTTTGCAGTATGGAATGGTCTTGGATAACACAGCAACGTCTTCCAAAAAGATTATCTTTAATGCTTTATCTTTATAATAATATACGAAAAATGCTTTTAAATAACGCCTTCATGTGTAATTGTGCATGCTTTAGAGTCCAATGACATAGTACTTTATGGAATCTCTTCAGAGATAAGTTAGATACCTTGCAATAATTGAATAAATTTCGTTTTGCAGTAGCATATTAGAACCCTGCATTGTACGCAATATAGCTTTTACATACTAATTTTCCTTTAGTTTGTATATAATTGATGTTAGAGAGGGATGGATGGTTCAGCTTCGCTGAAAAATGTTATGTTTTTCCTAAATATTCTATAAATAGAATGCATAGATATCAACTTGTTTTTTTTCAATTCTCCCTTGAATAAATGTTACTTGAAAGATTTTGCAAAGTTTAAAAAATTGACGGTGTAAGCTTGCAACTGAAATATTGTTTTATTTTATTTTTTTATATTTTTTGGTTGATTGAGTCTTTAATGTGTTGTTGATTTATTGCAGTTGAGAAAATTGATTTGTTTCCTGCTTACAAGTAACCCCTGAATTTAACAGAGTAACTTCGAATTGT